CCCCAAAACCCCAAAACCCCGTAATGCAACAACAAAAAGTTTATGTGAAAACTATTTTCGTTGATTAGATATTAAATAAATGAATAGGATTCGACTTGGTATTTTATTTATATTCAGTCTTGCTTCCATCACTTTGGCCCAGACATCTCAATAATGTAAGGAATGTGCTGCTGATCCATGCGGATGCTCACTCTTTAAATGCTCTAAGAAATAGCAATTTCCGGTTGATGCCCAGGATTTGACCAAAGGATTTAGTGGATGCTAAGAAACTAATGGGAAACTTTATGATGGTGATATAATCTAACAATTATAAGGTTCTTGCTATTGCCCATATATGCTTATTGATGAAAATTGTTAACCAATTGGATAAAGTGGAATAATTCTTGGATCTGGCTTTGACATTACTGGTGATAACTCAGAAAATCTTAAGAAATTGGATGCAAAACTATTGGAAAAATTGAGTCCATATTTTGTCAAGTATGAAAACCCCCTTTAATTCCTAATGAACAATCGTTTAGAGCTCTCTTAACAAGAAATCCAGTCCTTTGATTAAGTTAAGTTGGATAATGAAATTCAAAATCTGGAGAAATATTATAATGCTAACTTATTCAATAACAACAAACTTGGTAAACTAAGCAAAGACAAGCCTAAATTCGCACAATTGACTAGAGGAGTGAGAACTGTGATCTTCTCGTAAAATAGATAATACGGAAAACCCGACAACGTAAACTTTAACGAGATGTGGAATTTGGCACTTAGAACTGACTTTCAAAATATGCTTGATTCATTGAACAAGGAAGGTCAATAAAAGGTTAGAAGTCTACAGGAATATCAAATTTTAAAATATTGCATGGAGAAATGTTCTCAATCTAAAAAAGTCAACATTTTATTTGTAATGGATGGATCTGGAAGTATTAATGAATAAAACTTCAAAATCTAAACTGACTTTGTTCGGATATTAGTTCAAGATACTAAGTTGGGAGATGATTCATACTAAATTGGATTGCTGGCATTCGCAACTAAAAATGATCTTCTTAGTGATTTTAGCTCAGATCAAGCAGCTTTAATAAAAGCATTAAATGAATTCGAGTATCCAGATGGAGATACTTTTACTAACACAGCACTTATTGAGGCAAAGAGATTATTCTAAGTGCAGTCTGCCAAACGACCAGACTCAATGAACTTAATGTTTATTATTACAGATGGAGAACCTACTAAAGGTGATGAAGTGGTAGACTCAACCATTTAAGCCCTCAATGATCTGAAGGTTTAAAGATATGCAATAGGGATAACAAAATATATCAAATACAATACATTAATGTATCTCTCTGGAGATAACAAGCAGGATAGTTCGAGAGTGTATTATGTCACAGATTTTAGCAAGCTATAATACATAATAAACTCAATCAACGTTGCTGCTTGCTCTACACCTTAGGAAATAAAACCTTCCCAACAACAATTTGAGACAACTCTAGATGGATAAGGATCTCAATACCTAAAATTGCAGCAAAAATACGTATCCTTAAACATTGATGTATAAGATTCTGCCAAACTTCAATCTCTTTTCTCATAAAATTCTTTGATACTCTTAGCTAATGAAGATTAAAATGTCAATATCCTTGATGATGTAGTGGTTTATTATTCATACACCTATGATTTGCCAAATTAATATATTAATGATGGTTCTGGATAGCAAAAAGATGGAAAGATCTAACTAATTATCAACAATAGCAAGACTAGTATAAGTAATATTTTCACAATTTACAAAATTATTAATAGCATATGTATCATTGATGAAAAAGAATACTGGAAAGATAAATCTCTCTGTTAAGCAAGAGAGTTTGTAAGTAGAGCAATGTGATGAAATCTGTACACTTTGCAATAGTCAACTTCATTGCAAATTATGCGATGAAGGTTATGAACTAGTTTCAAGCAAATGCCAAATACCAAAACCTGATGAGCCTGATAGCTCAAATCTCTGGCTTATTGTTCTGCTTATTATTCTTGGACTTGTAGTGCTCTCTTTGGGAGGATTATTTTTCTATAAAAAGAGATAGAGATCTAAACAAGATTAAAATGATTTATAAAAGAAAAATTAGACTAGTGAGAAGTTACTTATTAATTGATCAAAATTAGTAGTCATTAATAGAAGTTAAAACGATTTGCTACTTAAATTGATTATTTTTCTCTTATTATTTTTACTCGAAATTTTTGATGGATGGGGTTTTGGGGTTTTGGGG